GATATGGAGATTTATGAATGAGGAGGACGGAATATAGAGGAGGGTTATTGAGGCGAGGTGGGGGAGTATTGATGATAGGCGGGAATAGGAGAAGGGCGTTGAGACCGTGGTTTAGGCTTATGGAGGAAGATTCAGGTGGACCGGCCTAAAATCTAGGAGTGCATTAGCTGGAGGTTAGGCAGAGGCAACAGAATCAGGTTTTGGGTGGATGGGGGAAGTCTTAAGAGGCAGTTCCCGATGATATTTTCCATTGAATAATAAAAAAAACATGGTTATTGAGGATGCATATGGAGACTATGATGGTATCGGTGAGTGGATTGTGAATGTGAATAGAAGTCTGAGTGACTGTAAAGTGGGTGAGTACAAAGCATTATTGCAGCTATTATCTACGAAACGGGTCAATACTGATAGGGACCAGGTCATATGGAAACTGAAACAAAATGGTGAGCTCACTAATCAAGTCTTACTACAATTATCTTGTGATAGGTGAGATTGGTAGTGTCCAATTTCCTAGTTTATCAGATTTGGAAAGCAAAGGCACCTCCAAGGGTTGTTTTTTTTGCATGGGAGGCAAACGGGGAATGCATTTTGATGATTGACAAGTTGAGGACAAGAGGTAAAATCATGGTAAATGGGTATTATTTGTGCAAGAAAGCTGCAGAATCCTATAACCATATTTATTATGTTTAAACATGCGAGAGGATGCTAGGATGTATTGTCTCTCTCTAAAAAGAGGAGGGGTTATTTGTATCTTATATACAGAAGTGGTGCTTTAATGTTCAAGTAGTTATAACATTTTCTGTTAACCTGGGTCATTATGGAACTTTTTGAATACTAAGTTTTGGTTACATCATATTAATTTGGATACCAAAGCTGAAATAACCGTTACTTGCAGGAACCTGTATAAATTAATTGCATAATCTTTTCTCCTTTATCTCAAGAGAGGGTTAGTGAATGATCTTGTTCCCCTTTTTTTAAAGGGCATGAATACTGATGAATATTGCAGTTATTGGAGCCTTAGGGTACTTAACAATTACTAGCCTAGAGCAAAAAAATGAAAAGCACCATTACAAAGCAGCAAATTAACCTGTTCAATTGAAAGATTACGTTGCTGATTTCTAGAGTGTGTTAATTTTTTCCTCTATCTTGATAGGCAAGTGTTACAGTACACAGAAACGAAGGTGTGGGATCCATGGAAGCAACAAAAGGAAGGAGTTTGTCTTTAAGGAGCAAATAAAAGTTAGAGTTCTTTAAAAATTCTACTTAATATTTAGATTTAGATTACGAATCGGAAAAAAATTAGGAATATGATTCCTGAAATTATAATTAGATTTAGCTTAGGAATTGGAACAAAATTAGGACTATAATTCCTACAAATACACTTATTGTCATCAATGAATTATCAAGCAATTAATCCAAAGAGTTTTTCCATAAAAGATCAAAAATTCTCTTAGCTGAGTCTCACCATAAGCCAGCAAGGCTGGAAAACAAGAAGCAAGGAATTGCTTGCTTTAGGATTTTACACTGGCATATCCTATAACTAGATCCAGTCCCCAGGACACATGTTAATATCAGAGCCAGTGGTCATGGATGACTTCAAAAGTTTCCTAGTAACAATTTTAGACAGTCATGAAGCAATACTAGGAGACTGTTCAGGTTGAAGAGAGGCAATGCGGACTCACTGTTCAGGTTGAAAGCTTCTCCTCGGAAATATTGGCCAGAAGGAGACTGTTTATACTACTAACTCAACAAAAAAAAAAGACAAGAAACAGGCCAACTCCAGCCACAATGAAGAAATATTTCTAGAGTTATAATTAGATTTAGATTAGGAATCAGAAAAAAACTAAGACTATAGTTCCTAGAGTTATAATTAGATTTAGATTAGGAATGAGAATAAAACTGTGGCCATGATTCCTAAAATTGTAATAGGGATCTAATTTAATTTGCTTTTCTTTTAGCATACCTATTATCATGAACAAAATTGTCAAATTATTAATCAGAAAGAGTTTTTCTATAAAAGATTAGAGGTTCTCTTAGAAAAGCTTCACTACAGCCCAGTAGAGCCGGAAAACCGAGAAGCAAGCAGCTGGCTTGCTTCAGGATTTCAGACTAGCAAGTCCTGTAACCAGATCCAGAGCCCAGGATACCGAAAGCAAACTTGATCATCTGTAGTTGGTTTCATCGTATCAATATTCCAAGACATCTAGTCTTCACTAAAACTCAGTGCCAATACCAGTGGTCTAGAGTGTGTCTTAGCTATTCACCAATACATTACAGGTTGTGATCAAATTGTTTGGATGAGGCTTGATATTTATGGGCATGATTTTTCTGTTTATTGTTAAGTATCACAAGAAGATAGTGGAAGAGAGGAGAGATTTTTTATTCTCTTCTCCTTTCAATTTGAGGAACAGTTAATTCAGCTTTACTAGGTTAATAATTTTTTCATTGCGCAAACCAACCCAAAACTTTCTTGAGAAAGCACATTGAAATTCAGCGTGGTTGTGGTTTTCTTATTGTTGAGACTTGCATCAAAAGGGAGAAAATAGGTATAGCAATTTTCCAACTTGAATATCTTTCTTCCTTGTTGATTATCTGTATCATTTGCATTCAACCTTCAAAAACACTTGTCAGTGTTTATTTTTGAGAGAAGGGAGATAGTTACTCAGAAAAGAGTAGGAAAAATTGGTATAAATAGCATTTTAACATTTAAAGTTAAGACTTAAAATTTTGAGAGTCAATCTGGGTTATGTTATATTTTTGTAAATTTCAAAATGAAGTAATACTTTTGTAATCAGAAGATCTAATCCTTGTTTGTAATTTACCAGGTTTGTGCTTGCTAAAAGTTCTTTTCTCCTATGGAGTTAAATGTTTTCTTGTGGAAAAGGTTTAACAGATTTCTGTTCATGTACTATTTACTCGGATGAAACTAACAGATGTTGTGCCTGCATTATGCAGGTGATGAGAAAGAATCTATTGAAATATGTACATGTGAGGGAGTTTGCTCCAGAAGCTGAGTTTCATGATCCCTGTCCTTCCTTCATTTTACGAAATGTAGCTTGCAGGTATTGCTGCGGGTACTGGATACGTATTTGATTATCATAATAAATGTGAACATCATGATGACATAGAACAAATTAGAATTAATTTGCCTATATAGTAATCTAGGGACAAAGGTCTAGACACCACATCCAAGAAATCTTTCAGCTTCACAATTTGAGGTTTGATTGCATCAAGTAGCCAGAAAGTTTTTGAGAAGGTCATGAAGTAGTTTATGAATAACTTAACTAGATTGAGCAGTTTCAAAAGTGAGATCATAAAAGGTATTTATAGTGGTTCCTAAGTAACCATTGTGAATAAGATTAAACCAAGAAATATATTTAAGAGTAGGAAAACTAAATACTAATCATAAGTTACTAAAGGGTAGACTTCTAAGTTTTATATTTAAAAGAAAAGAATCGTGATTTCTATTATATTTAGACAATCTACATTAAAATCATGATTTCTAATCTATTTAGACAATCTAAATTTCACTCATTGTCATCACATATGAAGTTTACAAAATTGCATATATAATATAATAGGATTTATTCCAATGGATGGTTAAACCAGGTAGGCCTATATGTAAAAATTTTCTTTTAATAGTGTTGCTTGTTCAGTTTTTTTTTTTTTTTATTATTAGGAAAAATTATCATTTTATTCCTTAGACTTACAATTCCATTCTAAATTGTTTTTTTATGTTATAATAAGGATCTTAACTTAAAATGTTTTTTTAATTCTTGATCTTTATACACTTGTGAAATTTTTTTATCTGAAGATGACATAAATCCTTCTTGTTTTGCCCATAATTTGTTCTTTATGAAGTTAAAAAAGTTATATCAACTAAAAATTAATAGGAACAATTAATTTGTTTTACTTAAGTTATGATAATGAAATATTACAACCATTAGGGAAGAAAAAAGATCTGTATACGATTTTTGAAATTCTTTTTTTTATTCATTTCTACCTATAAATAGATGTATTCTATTTCTTAATTCATCTTTTATATCATCCAAACAAGACAAAAACTTTTGCTATTTGTTGTTTCCACAAAAAAAGTTACAAATTGAAACAAATTTGTAAGCTTTTAAGAATAAAACTTTAACAGAAAAAAAAAAAAAAAAATTTGAAACCAACTTGTACTACGGTGAACAATTAACAAGCTACAATAGTAATTTGCCCTTATTATTAATATTTGATATATTAAGATTTCGATATTGATTCGTTATTATTAATACTTGTAGAAATTTGTTTTTTTGTAAAGTTCAATTCATATATAAATTGATGTGTTTAGGGAAATCTGTTGATAAAAAAAATCATATTCAACTTTCATAATTAAAAGATCTTTTTCTTTTATGACTTATTTGTACTTAGTTTCCTATTAAAACTTTTTTATTTTTCTTCTATATGTATTCAAATATAAATTAAGTATCATGAATAAAAATTAAAAAATTTGATTACAAATTTCATGATATCAAATTAGGACCTATAGACAAAAAAAATAATGTATATTTTTTCTTTCCCTTGCTAATGATCAAATATGAGATGATTAGGATAAGAACTAGTGACCCTTCTTAAATTACATCATGTTTTAATAAAATTATTTTTATCAAACATCTAAAATCAAAAGCCACTCAAATTCCGATCACCAACCACAAGATAAATGGAAGTAATTATATTCAATGGTCTTAATTAGCCAAGATGTTTATATGTGAAAGAGGGAGAGAAAAATACATCACCATAGAAGCCAAGCAACCAAGTGACAAAGACCCAAACCCGAACTTGGAAGATCGAGAATAATCTAGTCATGTCGTGGTTGATTAATTTCCATGAAAAATGGTATTAGTGAGAATTTCTTATTGTACGGAACTGCACACAAAACGCCTCCATAATCTACGAAAAAGAGATCTATACGTTACTCGTTATTGGTAACGGCTCGATGTGTTTTAGGAACTTGCATGGAATTGTCAAGATGATGCAAAACGGTGTAGAGAAATTTTGGAAGAAAAAGAATTTTCAAATTTCTTATAAAATTGAATAAAAATCTGGATGAAGTATAGGGAAAGATATCTAGAATGAAACTATTGGTTGGTATTCTTGAAGCATTTTTTTTTTAAGAAAATGAGAAAACAAAAAAAAAAGGTAATGTCAGGAGATGGATTCACAAGCCCTACTACTAAAACAAAACTATATCTTGACTAACTGTGTCCTTCATCCAACTCGGACAACTAGCAATGAAATGGAAGCTTGGTATGATAATTGCAGAAAAGCAGATCATACTCGAGACAATTACTTAGAAATTCATGGAAAATCAGCCAATTTGAAGACTACAAAATCAACCATAGACAAAGAAAGTAAGGAAAATCATGTCTTTATTAATGAAAGTGTTTCCACTAAGGAATCATGCCCATGCAGCAAAGAGTAGATAGAAGCCCCCAAAAAAATGTTCCTACGTCAAAACTCCATCAATGACAACGTAGGATTTGGGACAACATCTCCTCTATCAATAACAATATAGGATTTAGGACAGTAACCCCTCTATCAGTAACAATATAGGATTTGGGACAACAGCTTGAAAAGATAATTCTTTTAGTGCTCTAAATGTTATCTTAAGAAATCAAAATACTTGGATTATTGACTCTGGACATCTGATCACATGACGAGAAATCAAACATTATTTTAAAAATATAATCTATGCAACCTCACCAAAAATAGCAGATGGATCTTGCTCAAGAGTAGCTGGAATAGGTGATATCCCCAGCTCAAAATGAATTAATCTTAAAGGGAGTATTTCATGTACCTAATTTGGATTATAACTTGTTATCATTAAGCAAATTTACCTAAGATTGATTATGCATGTATTGCTAAATTTTCTTAAACTTATATGAATATCAGGATTTGAATTCGATGAGAACAATTGACATATGCTTAGTTATACTTCGAGTTTTTTCTCCTTAAGGATAATGGATCTTTTAGGAGACAATCGCATGATGCATTATCTGTTGAGTCTCAAAATAATCTTACTTAGACAATCTTAGTACAATTCATAGCATTATGTGTTGAGTCTCAACTTTGTATACCTTCAAAAATCTTTTCCTTCTTTAGTTAAAAATAAAAATTTGAAAAATTTTCATTATGAAATATGTTAATTGTCAAAATATACTTATAATATATATTTAACATTGCCTTACAACCTCTTAATTGGTTCCCATAGTACATAGTGATGTTTGGAAGCCATGTAAAATCAATAATATTACTGGTAATAGATGATTTATATTTTTTGTTGATGATTATATAAGATATTACATGACTATTTCTCATAAAAGAAAAGTTTGAAGTTGGTCATATATTCAGAAAATTCAAAAACATAGTCCAAGCCCAGTTTTAGACAAATGTATAAGTGTTGAAGACAAACAATGCAAAATAATATTTTGAAAAAAAAAATTGGTCGCATATCTTAAAAAATAAGGGATTGTTCATCAAAATTCATGTGTTGATACCCAGCAACAAAAAAGAATAGCCGAAAGGAAGAATATACATCTCTTGTACGTTGTCTGGTTCCTCATGTTCACAACTCAAGTTCCAAAATTTTTGTAGAGAGAAGCTGTTCTAACTACAACTTACCTTATCAATAGATTGCCTTCTCAGGTTCTTGAGTTTCAAATATCCTACCAAGTTATGCTCCAATATTTTCCTACCGCTTGACTTCTATCTATTGTACCTATTAAAATCTTTGGTTGTTCATCCTTTTTTCACATGCACAACCATCACAAAAGTAAACTAAATCCAAATCAATAAAATGCATCTTTGTTAGACATTTATCAAAATAAAAAGGATATAAGTGTTATTCACCAGTCATCTGAAAATTCTATAACTCCGTGGATGTCACCTTTCATGGAAATCAATCATACTACAGAATTTGTATTTAGGACGAGAAGAATACACAAGAATCCCAATTTTATGGACTCCATTCCTAAATATTTTCATCCTCCTCCAATTAAACGTATTCAGCCTTTCAGAACACATATCGAGATGAACACCTATACCTTAACCTACTCAGCACACAGAAAAACCTAAAATTTGGGTCTACATCAAAAGGAACAAGAATCAAAAAGAGAAAGAGTCACAACAATCTGATTATAGTCATGGACTCAATCTGAATTAAGATCCAACATCACCAAATAATTCAGGTAATCTAAGTTCAGATCTCTCCCTTGATAATATATATGATAATAGACCTATTACTTTAAGAAAACAATTCACAATTTTATTTCATGCAAAGGTTTTTCATCAACTCACCACACATTTGTTAGCAATATTGATCAAATATAGATATTAAGGGTGATACATGAAATATTGAAAGTACCTGAATTAAAAACTGCAATAATGAAAGAAATTCAAGTCTTAGAAAAGAATGAAACTTGGGAAAAAACAGAATTATCAACTGGGAAACACCCAGTTAGCTGTAAATAGGTGTTCATAGTTAAACATAATGCTGATGATAATATCAATAGGTTCAAAGCTCGATTAGTAGCCAAAAACTCTAGTTAATTCTATGACATTTCCATCAGTAGCAAAGCTCAACACATTCTGGATACTAATGTCTCTAGCTGTCAATTTTGATCGGCCAATATAATTAGATGCAAAAAATGCTTTTTTTAGTAGAGAACTGGAGGAAGAAGTTTATATGGAGATACTGCCAGATTTTGAAAGTTAAGTCATTAAGAGAAATGTCATCAGACTCAGAAAATCTCTCGATATATTCAAACAATCTTCAAGAACATGGTTGGACAAACTTACTAAGACAATCAGTAGTTTGTATATAATCAAAGCGATACAGATCGTATTATGTTTGTCAAGCATGATCTTTCAAGAAGAACGGTAATACTCATCATATATGTATAGATGATCTAATAATCAACAGAGGTGACACAAGGAGATGCTTAGACTAAGAAAGTTCTTAGTTAAAGAATTTGAGATTAAAAACTGATGAAATTTCAAATATTTTTGGAAATAGAAATTGTTAGGTCAAGGAAATGAGTCTCAGTTTCTCAACAAAAATATGTGGTGGATCTTCTAAAAAAGACTTAAATGCTTGGATGCAAGCCCGCAGACACACCCACGGATCCCAACATTGAACTGAGAAATACAATTGATTGTGCTCGAGCTGGCAAAATACCAATATGTAGCTGGTAAATTGATTTATCTTTGCAGAGCAGGCTAGATATTAGTTTTGCCGTCAGTGTGGTAAATTAGTTCATGAATAATCCAAATAAAGAATTTATGGAGGTAATGTTTCAGATTCTCAAGTATATAAAACTGACAGTTGGATAAGAACTATTTTTAAAGAAGTCAAGAAATTAAAATATATATTGATATCGACTGTGTTGGTTCTATAATTGATAAAAGATCCACTTCTAAATATTATACATATGTGTAGGGAAAGCTAGTTATTTTGAAGAAGCAAAAAACAGTCAATGGTATCAAGAAGTAGTGTTGAGGTTGAGTTTAAAGATTTAGTACATGGTATCTGTGAAGGAATGTGGCCACAAAGGATATTGACTGAATTGAGAATTCCCTCTTCAGATCCTATGAAAGCGTTTTGTGACAATCAATACACAATAAACATAACAAAAAACACAGTTCATCATGATCGAATTAAATATATGGAGATTGATAGAAAGTTTGTAAAAAGAAAATAAAGTCATGAGTAGTATTGTTGTGGCACATTCAATCTTGTCATTAAACTGTAGATATTTTCACCAAGTCGTTACCTAAAAAGACCTTTGAAGAATTGAGTTCTAAAATTTGGTTTGCTCAACATCTTCAAACCCGCTTGAGGGGAAGTATAACTTTTTTTAGAAGTTCAATTTCTATATATATTTGTATCTTTAGGAAAATCTCTTTATAAAAGAGAATTATAACTGGCTTTCATAATTAGAAGATTTTTTCTTTTTATGAAACTGATTTGTATTTAGTTTTTTACTAAAACTCTATCTAATTTTATCCCATATATATATCTAAATATTGTAAATTAAGTATCATAAATAAAAGTTCAATAAACAAAAAATTTGATTACAAATTTTCACTACCAAAAATATTTTAGCTGATCGTCATGGTCCACGAGTTCTTTTGTGCTATTTAGTATTATGATAAGAATTTTCTTCACTAAACATTTCTTGGATTAATATCTTAAAATTATTGTGAAACTAAAACTTTCCGCAGATAGATCCTGAAAGATTGGATTGCTAATGAGCAACTGTCATAACATTTATGCACATAGGCAGGATAGATATTATCACTATTTTCACCCGCCCATGACATGGGCATTGTCCTTACTGATTGCCTTTTTTTTTTGCCGGCATGACTGCTATGTTCAGAAAATTTTATGGTAAATGGATGGAATTCCCAAGCTCACATTCTGATTGTTACTGTGTATGATCAGAGGTGAAGTCTTTGCATCAATGAATACCTTTAGGAGTTGCAATTTTGGGAAGCATAAACAACTGTCAATTATTCCTATAGTACTGAATATAAAAAATGTCTATCAAATTCATCTTTCCTTTATGGAAATTAGATATCACTAGAATTCATTTTTTTCTTTATCAAGATCAGATTTTACCTCTTTGATTTGAAGTCCGTACTTGTTTCTAATCCGTGGATGTCCTTTTGACAGTTATTGCCACGACTGCCGAGACCTGGATTTACATGGTGACGCAGCTTTACTGGCTGAGGAATGGTGCTGTGCAGTTCCTCAGTGTGGCCATCCTTATGACCGTGAAGTAATGGAAAATGCACTTCTCCAAATTGTTCGGCAAAGAGAGCGCGTCTACCATCTGCAAGACCTGATATGCCTTAGGTGTAACCAGGTGAAAGCAGCACATTTAGCTGAACAATGTGAATGTGCTGGCTCATTCAGGTGCAGGGAAAGTGCATCTGAGTTTCACAACAAAATGCAGATTTTCCTAAACATAGCCAAGCATAAAAAATATGAAGTCCTCGAAGAGTGTATCTCATGGATTTTGGAGATCTAATAGCTGTTAATCATGTTTGAAAGATTCAAGTAAAACTCTATGATGTAGTTAGCCCCCTCAAGTGTAAAGTAAGAGATGTGCAGGTCATTTAATAGGGCTGATTAATCGAGGAGAACTCATTATACAAGATGCTCAAGTCAGAAATATGCCTAGGATGGCAAAACAATCAAATTAATGGAACAATTGTTGGGATGCAACTTGTCAAGACACTGATTATAGCATTCGACTCTGCCTCGGCCAAGGAAGAAGCAGAAGCAAGAATTCTGACTGTAAAAATTTATTGTCCATAAAATGTTGTTAAAGCTTGTATTTATATAACCTTTATGAACAACTCCAGTTGATCATTTAGGAGAGACAATCTTGTATAATTATAGAATCCTAGATTACATCATCCGATTGCTGTCTAAACCTCATAGCGACAAATTAGCTTACCATAATTACACGCTAAGCTTGACAATTAATCATGTGCAAAACTTGAGCTTAATCATGTTTTATTCTTTGGAAAGAAGAAGAATAGATTAATTAAAAATGCAAAACAATATCTAAGACGTCATTCCTGTGCTCACTGTATTAAAAATACTATAATTATATGATATATAAACTTTAGAGAAAAAAAAGATCACAAAATTATAATTGATTTTTGTCTATCACATTACTATAATGCTGGTTTCAAGAAGGCAGCTATCACATTATGTTGGTTTGGGTTTCATCCGAATCCACTTATGGCCCAAACAATCCAGTCAAAATTTGCGAATATTTTAATTACATTAATGTAATGCTGATGAAACATGCAGGACTTTAATATTTTGTAGGTTTCATCAAATCTGGTTTTTTTAGAATAAAATTTTCATCATTATTTGTCAATCTAAACTATTCCTTAGCAATAAAAATGAATAATTAAAACGAAGTAGAGAAAAATTATCTTTCTTATACCATAATAGAACAAATCTCAAGTTGTCAATATTTTTTCTTTTTTGGTTAAAAGATTTGGTCTTTGTACTATAGTAATTATTAGACGAAAAAATATTAAAAAGAAAGTAAAAGAAGAGCAACAAAAAAAAAAAAAAAAAAAAAAAAAATTTGAAATGTTAATGAAAATTAGAATGGAAAAAAACAAGGAAAAGATGAAAATTAGTGTTACAGATTTCAGTTTTATAAGTGAAACTTTATATTATAATCTTTAAAAAAATATTAATATATTGCAATTAAAACTCTTAACATTTATATACTTTAGATCTTTGATAATGTGATACATCTTCCCCTTCACAAGTTAGAGGTTGAAAATTCAATCTTGTTTAATGAATGTGTCTCTCACCGTGGGGTTTGAATAAAACAAAAAGCATCTCTCCTCCAATCAATACATAAATTGGAATTTGTTATTTATTTATTGACTCGGTTAGGTTCTGCGGCACGTAAGTTTATAATAGATAGGGCTTGAAATTGAGTCATAAAAGTCCCAAGCAAGAAAACATCATAAATATGATTTATCTTTTTATATGGAATAAGATATTTGGAACGAACTTGAATTATAGATTCTGTTTCGTATGGATAAACATAGTACTAAATTTAGGTTTGTATCATGTAGATCTCACTCTCTAAGTTATATTGTGTAAATTCAAAATATGATCCCACACCCAAATATTTTTCAAAATTAGTGCTGGAGGAAATATTTATTTAATGTTATTGATATCATTTCCCTTTGTGTGGCTATAATAAAGGGAGAAGAAACAACTTACTACAAGTCCGAATATTATTGAGAAATAACTGAAGCTCGAAACTCTCCCCGGTGGTTGATCCAGATGTTTGAGTTTCAAGAACTTAGCTCTTCAACATTACATGCGTACTCTTCTTTTAAACACCAAGTGAAAACTCTTTAAAAAACTCTTTTTACAAAGCAATCCTAAGGATTCTTTTCCTAAAACATATATAATATTAAAAGCACAAAATTCACCAAAAGAACCATCTTTTGCTGGTTGAACCTTGAGAAGTTTTGTCCTCTTTCCTACTCTCAATTCCCTGCTTCAAAGACTCCAACCTTTTTTTGCATTATGCAAGATACACTAAGAAACTAGATTCAATTATAAAAAAAAAAAAAAAAAAAAAGAATTATTTGCCAAAACTGATACCATAGCAGGTCTGGGTATTAATAATTAAAGCTCAAAACAATACTCAACGAGAGAAAAGCAGCTTAAAACACTTTTTAAAAATGGAAACTTCTTCAACTTAATATTTAACTGTTGCAGCTCACCAAGCCAAAAACTCATCCCTTGACAAAACTAGATTTTTAAATGTAGATTAAAAAGAAAATTGTCAGCAATCTGGACAATATAAGCACCTCCTTTGATGGATTGACCTAAATCAATCACCTACATGAAAAACATACAAAACTACCCCTAATGCTGACTTCAGCAGCAGACAATATTTAAACTTGTGCACAAACAAAGCAATCAACCAGTTTTTTCATCCTTTCTTACTTGCTTGACAAATAAAATTATTTTATTGAAGCAAAATGTCTAGAAGTTCATGAAAGTGCCCATTAAAAAATGCCATTTATGCTTCACTCATGAAAAATTGAAGACATTTTTACACATTACTTGGTATCGGTAAGGCGACCATGCAAACCCCATCTTTGGCGGAAACCTTCAATGCCTTGAATTCCACTAGCCAGAATCAAGCGCCTGCAGATTTATGAGTAGTGCCACATGAGTAATCTCCGGAAATGTTTATGTGATTCCAAAATCAAAATGACCAAACAGCATATAAATTAGCAAGCACATTGATCAATATTTTTCTTTTTCTGGTTTGCCATATAGACCTAATAAGGTTGTATCTCATTGGTGCAATACTGCTCAGGCCTCCACAGGCCAAATTTAGGTAAGTATATCCGCAGGAAACATTTATGCCACGGTACTTTATTTGTGGGACGATATGGCTAGACCAAAACAATGGGATCTCAGAAGATTGTACCTTCCCGACGCAAGTTCTTTGGGACCACATACATTTCTAACCTCCTTATAGGCAAAGGTCCATGGGCAATTTATTGATACATCCATGTCTATGTTATTTAGAAACTGGGGGGCGATAGTACATTGATTTTTGTGGGGTTCTAATGTAACTACACTTCAGATTTCTTCTATTGGAGAGCTCTAGTAGGATATCTTATCCTCCAATTTTCTACATATTTCTTTTCTTGCCCTTAATAATATTTCTTTTCATAACTATATATATACATATATATATATATACATACATATATACATAAGAGCAGGAAGCATACTTCATTTGACTTAGAATTAGCCCCTTATCTTTGACAAAAGGCAATCTAAAAAAAAGGATAGATTGTTAACTTGAAACCTGGGCATAGCAAAAGCTTTGAACTGCTCAAGAAAGAGGAGAAATATGAGAAAAAGGACACAGGTCGTGGACTCACTTATATGAGAGCAGAATAATAGGTTGACAGAGAAACTGGTAAAATCCGTAACTTTTGATCTTGTTATGGTGATGGTAATGAAAACCAAGAAACTTCAAAAGAAGAAAGCTTCTTGGATCTTCTTCCTCCATTAACTATTTTTAATAAATTGTTCGGGCTCACTAAAAGAGAATCAAATAATCTATGAGATTATGAAAATAGTCGAGAACTTGTTACCAATTTTCTGCATAATACTTTATTCTTCTTTTGACACACCACATAGGTTACAGAATGGTAGGACAGAAATAGGCACCATATCTAAATCTGAAATAAAACTGAAAACAGAACAGACTGCCAACTAGGCTCCCTTCTTATTTCCACGAGTTAACCACTTATAACCTTCCCACTAAATGAGATCAGCGGACTTCATCAAGCTAATCTGAAAGTTGCTAATCCATAATGGAAAGAGTCCCTAGACAAATGCATGACTAAGCAATCATGTATAGCATATAACACTTTTTTTTGAAATACATAGATAACATATAAAATTGTGAACAAGTTCTTAGAAGTCAGTAACCCCATATGTGCTATCTAGGGTTTACAGAGATCACAATCTGACAGCAGGAATATCTAAATTTAAGGATACTGAGTGTATAAGACACCATTCTTCTGAACTACTCGTGTCACTGGAATGAAAAACATACCTTCCATCTGGTTAAAAATAAAAAAACTAGGGATATTTCTTACAGCAAATCTCCAACAGGAAGAATATTAGAATAACATAAATGAAAAAAAAAAATGACAGATGTATGACTTTAAAATGAGACGAAAGACAAAGGAAAAAAGCTTTCTTAGGATGTTTCTCAAAAGCATATGCTTACACAAAACTAAAATCATTAGGAAGTTTCATGAATAAATAAACACACACGCAACCAACTAGTTCAAAACAACCTCTCCAATGATGTGACTTTTGATTGGAGTTGAGCAGCTCTTTCCTTTGCTTCGACTAAAGGCATTGATAACCCTAATTTGCGCTCACTATCCTCAAGTCTTTGCCTTAGTCGCTTGTCCTGCAACTCCGCATAGCAAAAAAACTTGGAAAGCTTAATATGGAAATACCAAGTTATGGATCTTATACCTCAAACTATAACTTAACTGTTAGTATAAACAAAGAAACAAGAACAAGAAAGGAGCTTCACATAATAACCTTACCCTTTTTTCAGCACATTGTCGATATATAGCAATCTCATCTTGACAGAATGGTTCAATATCATTGATTTGCAAGCCTTCAATGCAAGATTGAATACCTCTTCAGAATAAACACAAGCAAGTATTCACATAGGCAAGTTACTTGAACATTAAACTAAATCTAGCTCCCAAGAACCTCACTTTTATATACTGCAGATTAAGTTGATGGCAGAGTAAATTGCCCACAAGTAATAAACTTAGTAAAATGACCGGTCCTAATACTGTTTATATACAGAATATATGGATAACCAACTAAATCATGAAAGAATTGATCCGGATGAAGTTAAACTTGATACTTACACAAAAATAGATTCCTTAAAAGCCCATCACATAAATCAACCCCTTCTAGCACATAAGAGGCAATTTCTGGAGGGATGACTGGAGATGGTGGGCCCATCATGAGATCATCACCAACCAATATAGTTTCCTCCATAGTTGGCTGTGAATCAACTGAAAACCATGGATATAGAGTAACAAAACATTCATAAACAAAACTCATCAAGAAATCCACAAGGCAAATAGTGTTTGCACATGCAAAAAGTATCAATGTCTGAAATAAAGCCAATCCTGCTGCCAATTTTAGCGTGAAAAGTTAATAATATAATCTTTTCATGAGAGATAGAGCAAACAGAGCTGTCATTTTTTTTCAATCAGAGACTTCAACAGATGCATTAGTAGTTCTCCATCCTTATGTATCATAAGAGCTCATGTGAAAGTCCACTCCTCCACTCTCACCGGGTAAAAAGAATTTTAAAACCTAAGTGGAACTTGAACCAACCACCCTTCTTTCAATGGGATACTTGAAACCTTGATCCATAAATGATATTAGTGACAGCTATTTTATTCATAACTTACCTATACGTTCCACTTGTCTTTGTCTAGATATGCAATCACATCTAGATCTTAAAAATAAACACATTGCGGTTTCGGTGATTCACATAAGATAAAAGTCATCAGAAAATAAAGAGGTCAATTTAAGGGACTGATGACCCACCAGTTAAATAAGTAGTAAATGTAAAATATTTATGAAGCATGAAATGAAACTAGAACTTAACAGACCTCTAATGACTTCAAGGGAGCAGAAGTAATTTACTTTCTTCCACGTAACAAACTTACTAGAACTAGCTTCTATTAAATCATGTAATTATAAAATATGATAGAAATGTGATAAAGTTCAATTACTGTTGTCAATCTGCTGCTCTAGTTTTTTTTTTTTTTTTTTTTGAGATAAAAGATAAAAGTATTATTGTGAACAAAGTTACCAAGGGATACTGCCCTTATATATAATAATTACAAGTCAACCAAGTGGTCAATAATTCGTCCATTATCTTCCCAATCTAATACGTCATGACCTAACAAAATAAAACTAAAAGTGTGAATTCATTTATTCCTAATGTTTACAATATTAGT